TTTTTATTTTTATATCAATTCTGGCTTGGCAAATACTCTGGTCCGGATGCCTCCTCCTTTCCTCAAGGACACCAGGGAAGATCCCGACTTGGCCTTCAGGAAACAAATGTGGAAACTGAGGTGCGAGGCGCAAACACCGCATTCTGTAGAGAGACTGAGTTCGCCTCTGCCCTCTCGGCCCCCCAGTTACCAGCGGGTACTTAGCAGCCGCGGTGATGCTGGGACTCCCAAGGCGGAAAGGCGCAGCGCGGGGCGGGGCTCACCCCTTCGCCCCGAGCCCATTGGACCAGCCGGGCCCGGCCACGCCCCAGCCGTCCAGCCCCGCGCAGGGGGCGGGGCCTGCAGTTCCCCGGCCGTAAGGTGCCGCGCGCGTCCTTGGGCAGAGAGGGGAGGTGACCGAGGCGGCCGGGGACGCAGGATGAGCGCCTTGCGGGTGAGGCCCCCCGCGGGCCGTGCCGGGGTGGGAGGGAACCCCACAACCCTGGACCCTGATTTTTTTTTCCCTCTTATTAATTGATCCATCCCTCTCCCTCAACCCCCCAAGCACCTACTTCACAGCCACAACACAGGAGTCCCCGGGGACCTCCACGCTGTGCCCTGGAGGCACCGTTTCCCCACCCCCACCCCTCCCTCCCCCCTTTCTTTTTGCTTTGACGCGGGGTCTCACGTGGCCCAGGCTGCGAAGCGGGGTGCGTCCCCTTCCCCTGCCCGCACCCCCCACGGGTGATAATATACGTGTGATACCTTCCCTCGGGGTTTAAACGCTTACCAAGTGCCCCGGGCTGGCCCCGAACTCCTGATCTTCCCGCTTGAAGGCTGGGATCCTAGGCCTCCACCAGCGTCTTCTTGGCCCGAATCCCTTCCCATCTGGCTGGTGACTAATACCCTCCCCTTAAGGTGTTCACCAGACACAGTCCCCACCTCGAAGAGCGGGGGCCGCCAGCCCACCCACCCCCTATCCCTCTAGGTCTCCCGGGCTCTGGTCCGTTCTTTCAGCTCATCTACCAGGAGCCACTTGGAGAACCGTGTGCCAGAGAAGCAGAAACTCTTCCAGGTAGGCGGGACCGTCTCTGGGCCCAGCGTGTAGCAGGACAGGCCTGCCCGGGAGCCCGCAACCCCGTTCTCATCCTCACCCCTCAGGCCGACAATGACCTCCCGGTACACCTGAAGGGCGGGGCAACGGACAGCGTCCTGTACCGAGTGACGATGGCTCTGACCCTGGGAGGTGAGAACCCGGCCCTTTGGGTCGCCCTGGATGTGGACCAGCCAGGGGGTCGGTCGGTCTGTCGGTGCTTCAGGAGGGATGGGAACCGAGCTGGGCTGAGGAAGCTGGCCCAGCTCCTGGCCTGGTCCGATCAAAACGGGCGGGGGCGGGGACTCCCCGTGAGGACTCTGGCTTGGGAGGAAGCTGACGGCTGAACTGGAGCTGTGATCGCCGACGGGCTGGGGAAACCTAAGGAGGGGCTGCTGGAGCCCCTGCCACAGCTTGAGAGGGAACTATATCCACCAACTCTTCCTTCCTAGGCACTGCCTACAGCCTATACTGCCTGGGCTGGGCCGCCTTCCCCCACAAGAAGTGAAACCGAGACACCAGGACGAACACCAATAAATGTGCTAATCTCCCGAGAACCCAGCTCTGGCCTGTCTGTGTGTCCCTGCTCACCTTCCCGCAGCCCAGGGGTCTGTACCCCGGCTCTGGGTCCCTCGTGCTGGACCTAGGACAACCTGCTTGTGGGGGGGGGGGGAGTGTCCACGGGGCTGGGCGGAGGACCCGCAGTGGTAGTGCTCAGTGGAGCAGGGGTATTGTCCTCTGCAATGGAATCCCCTCCGCTTGCAGAGGCCCAGAGGGGAGGAAAGGTGCTGGCCAGGGCTGCGGTCGTACAGACCCTGCCTCAAAATGGAGATGCTGAGCACTGCCGCTTGCTGACTAGAATAGAGCATACAATCCACCAGTGAATGAGTGTGTGTGTGGTGTGTGTGTGTGTATGTGTGTGTGAAAGAGAGTGTGTCAGCCCTGGGTTCCATCCTCAGGATCAGTCAATCAGTTGAAGGACCCACAAGACTGAGGTGCGGGAAGCTACAAACATGGACAGACGGTCACAGAGACCTAACAGCTTGGGAAGCTTCGAGGGGATCTCTGGGGATTCTGAGCCCCATTCTGAGCCTGCTCGGGGTCCGGGAGAAGCCTAACAGAGGCAGGCTAAGTCTCAACTCGGAACCCAGTCTGAGGGAAAAAAAGATGCAGAGCAGAAAACACACAGCAGCCCAGAAGAGAGCTCCCCTAACCAGCTGTGGGGCTGGAGAGACGGTGCTTTGCGGCTATTGCAGAGGATCGGGGTTCAGACCCACCCCCCAGCTCACAACCCGGTACCTCCGGACTCAGAGGCTGGCACATACATGGTGCATATATGTACATGATACACTCACACACATTAAATAGACAGCCAAGCTACTCTCTGGACCTCGTGCTCCCTCCTCCCTGGACTCAGAGCCCGTAGGAAGCAGCGAGGAGAGTTTATTTCCTTCTGGGCCGGACAGCTCAGGAACAGAGCGGGCAAAGGCACTGGGGCAGCCCTGCCGGGCCTGGAGTTTGCTTGGCTGCCTGGGAGGTGGCTGAATGAGTGTGGAATAGGGTGTGCAGGGACCAGAGTGACCCTCCCAGAACTAAGACGGGGCCCTCGGGACATGAGCAACACAGTGCTAGGCTTGGCACACAGACAGGATGGAGGTAACAGAGGGTGTGGGCTGGGTGTGGTGAGGGGACTTGCAGTGGGGCACGCTTGCTTGTCTTAGAGCCGGGGGCAACTCAGGGTTTGGCAAGCTGGGGCACGCCAGGCTCTGGCGGCTCACTGGGAGGCTGGGTATCACAACAGGGAGAAGATGGGCCTGAGGGAGCAGGGCATGACCATGAAAATGTGGCTGCAGACAGGATCGAGGAGGGCTCCGTGATGACCTGGGACTCCCGTTCAGGAATACATAGTCAGCTGCAGCCACTGGAAAAGGAAGGCATAGGTGAGCAGAGGGCGCCGGAGAACCGCTTAGCCAGAGCCTGCTGCCAAAGCAGCCGGTAGGGACTGGAACTCATAGCTGAGCCCCTGCCCCCAGGAGAAGCCATCTCACCTCCTGGATGTTCACCCTGATTTGTCCGGTGCCGTTTTTGTCGAGAGATTTGAAAGCACCTGGAGGAGAAAGGAAGGGCGGGCTTAGATGCTTCCGGGGTAACAGTACGTACTGTTATCCTGTACTGACGGCCGTTCTCTTTTTGTGTTGTTTTACTTTCAGACAGGGCCTCACTAAATACCCTCTTGGCTGGCCTCAAACTCATGGAGATCTCTTTGCTTCTGCCTCCAGAGCAGCAGTAGGATTAAAGGCTTGTGCCAGCCCTGACTGGCCATAGGATAATGAGGATGTCGTTGATAATGACAGTTAGTGTTCCGTTCTTTTTTTCCTGTGCCAAGCAAGCAGTGCGCAAAGAACTTCAGAAACACGTGGTGCTACATGCTTGTAATCCCGGCGCTCGGCGGACTGTGGAAGGAGGGTCTTGAGTTCAGTTATCACTCTTAGCTACATACGGGAGTTCAAGGCCAGTCAGGATCCATGAAACTCTATCTATGATAATAATAATAATAATGAGAAGAAGAGAAGAAAATTAAATCAGTAAAATATCTAATTCTTGCTGGGCAGTGGTGGTGTACACCTTTATTCCCAGCACTCTGGAGCTCTGGAGGCAGGGGCAGGTGGAACTCTGAGTTCTGAGTTCGAGGCCAGCCTTGTCGACAGAGCAAGTCCAGGACAGATAAGGCTACACAGAGAAACCCTGTCTGGAGAAACAAAACAAAAACCTTAATTCAGTGAGCATGTGGCATTTTTAAATGAAGCACAGAACTAGGGTATTATAACACAGTGATAGACTTCTTGCCTATCATGCCTGAAGAACAGGGTTCAACCCCTGACACCTCAGTAAGGAACCACATACACTGATGTGATCACACAGCAAGATAGGACAGAAAACTGGGCTGGAACCCAGGACTCTTTCTCAACACTTGTGCTACGTCCTCTTTAGTTGTCACCCAAACAGGCCCCTAAAATGAGGGAACTTGGCAATCTGTTTCTTGGCCCTGGAGTCTGCTGGGTCCCCACGCCTGCCCTGCAGCCTGATGCTTCTCACCCACACCCAAACCAAGGCAGAGCTGCCCACACTGAGTCTGTCCCTTCCCTCACCAGGGCTGAGCCTTCAGGCGGCCACATCCAGTGTCCTTGATGCCCCTGGTTCTCCCACAGGCCAGGGGACACTTCTCCTTGGATTTCTTATCCTCCTGTGTCTCCGTCCTGAGTGCTGATTACAGGTGTGGGCCATCATGCTCAGGCTAACTCAGGGCTCGGTATCAAACCCAGGGCTTCCTGTACCGACTAAGCTAGATCCTAGCCCTTCTAATTAAGTGACTAATTAATTAATTTTGGTTTAAGACAGGTCTCACAAAGGCCTCAAATTTGCCGTGCAGTCAAGTTCGAGCTCCTGTGGCCTCTGAATCTTAAGTGCTGGGATCTCTGGTGTGTACCACCACACCTAACTTGTGGTTTCACTCTTAATGCCCCGCCTTTCCTGGGCTGACCTGTCCCTCCGTTGTCTAGGCCTGCCCTGGCTCTACAATGCCATCCCCAGCACTACACAGCAAGCCCGCCATGCCCACCACTCCCATTTCTTCTCTTTGCTTAGTTAAGTTCTCAGACAAACACAAAGTCCAATTCTGCCTTTCCAGCTTCCTCCACCGAAACAAGGGGGAAATAGTTCCCACTTCTGAGGGAGCCTTAGGACTCTTACAGCTGTCTTTATGAAAGCTCTCACTACAGGATCAGAAGTTCAAGGTCTCCCTCCGCTACAAATCACGTCAGGAATCAACCCAAACTACATGAAAACCTGTCTCAAAAATCAGCCAAGATGGGGCTGGAGAGATGGCGCAGGGGCTGAGAGCCCCTGGTTTAATTCCCAGCATGCATGTGGCAGCTCACCACCTGTGTGACTCCAGTTCAAGGAGGATCCGACAACCCCTGGCATCGGGCAGGCTAAAGGATCATACACATAAGTAGACAAACAGGCCAGAAAGCCAGCCTAGGCGTGACAGCACATGCCTTCAATCCCAGCACTTGAGAGGAGAGAGAGACAGAGAGTGACACAGAGAGAGACTCCTGCAAGTTGTCTATTGACCCCCACATGTAAGGACAAACTCCACTAACAAATAAACCTAAAACAGCAACAGCAGGGCCGCCTCCCTTTGCTCCCTTCCTTGCCCTCTCTAGCTTCACTCCCCATCCTCAGTCTCTCAGTTCACGTTCGCCTTCCTCCAGGCAGCCCTCCCCAATTCCCTGCACTGGTCTAAACCACCTCCGGGCTCCCTCTCACAGCCCAGGAGGCTCTCAGTGGCCTGTCCCATTCCAGCCACGAGCCCCATCCGTTGCTACCCGGTGAGCCAGGCACTGCTCACCTGAAGGCCAGGCTAAGGGGAGACCTTGGCCAATGCGGCTCGGCGAACCCCCACCCTGTCAGGGATCCAGAGGTCACTCACGGAACATGGCGTCCAGCCTGACCAAGCAGCTGATGAAGTTATCGAAGTCCATGTCCCCATTTTCTGCGGAATATCGCCGGATGATCATGTTGTAGAGATGTTCGTTCAGGTGGAACCCTGCAAGCAGCTGTGTCTGAGGATCTGCGTGAGCTCTGGTGCCCCGGCCACTCAGTCCCCAGCACAGCCCCCTGGAACTCTGCTGGCCTACCTGCGGCCTCAAAGGCCCCTGGGAGTTCCCGGCTGCTGATGGTCCCCGATCGGTCAAGATCAAAGCGTTTGTATATAGCCTGGGGACAGAGAAGACAGGGTCCAGCCAGGCGTCAAGGAGCGGCGTCCCCACCCCTGGGGATTGGGTGCTGGGAGTTCCACAGGCTGCCCCGTACCTGCCACTTTTTAATGTTGTTCCAGAGGTACTTGAATTCCTCAAAGCCCAGCTTGCCTGTGGTGTCACTCTGGCAGGAAGTTAAGAACAACGAGGCAAAACGCGGTGTGTGTGTGTTAATGCCGCAATGCTAACTTTTTTTTCCTTTTTGTTTTTTCAACCCAGGGTTTCTCTGTGCAGCCCTGGCTGCCCTGGAACTCACTCTGTGGACCAGGCTGGCCTTGAACTCAGAGATCTGCCTGCCTCTGCCTCTGCTAGTGCTGGGATTAACCATAATGCTAACTTTTAAAAATAACAATAAAACAAACTTGGACGGCTGGAGAGATGGCTTAGCAATTAGAAGAACTCACTGTTCTTGCAGAGGACTTGGGTTTGGTACACACACACACACACACACACACACACACACACAGATCAGAGTAAAGGTAAGCCAAGCCAGGCATGGGGGCATTTACCTATAACTCTAGCACACTTGAGAGGGAAAGAAAGGAAGGTCAGGAGTTCAGGATCAACTCTGGCTACAAACTGATTTCAAGGCCAGCCTTGAAATCTGAGACCCATCTCAGGGCTCCAAAAATACAGCACTAAACTGGGTGTGGTTGTATATGCTGCAGTCCTAGTACTCCGGAAGCCAAGAGGCAGCAGGCTAGAGCCAGTTCACGGTCAGTCTGGGCTATATAGCAAGAGCCTGTCCATACATAAATAAATCAGCAAACTAGGGATATAGCTTGAAGTAGAGGAGGCCTAGTTTAATACCAAGTCTCTCTCTCTCTCTCTCTCTCTCTCTCTCTCTCTCACACACACACACACACAATAACTCAACCCAGATGCTGTACTGTATGTACTGGGTACCTGACAAGAAACCTGGGAATCTGAGCTAGCTGCCATTCAACACTATAGTCATGTCACCCAGGCATGGTTTGGTTTGTTTAGCAAAAGGTTTGGCTGGCTATGGTGGCACACATCTTTAATCCCAACACTCAGGAGGCAAAGGCAAGCATCCCCAGTGAGTTCAAGACCAGCCTGGTTTATGTAGTAAATTCCAGGCCAGCCAGGGTTACACAATAAGGCCCTATTTAATTTTTTTTTTTGTTTGTTTCTTGGACAGGGTCTTATGCTATAATCCCAGCACTGAGGATGCAAAGGAAGAAGTGTTAAGAGTCTCACAGTGGACTGCAGGGCTGGCTCACTGGTTAAGAGCACCATCTGCCCTTTCTAAAGGTCCTGAGTTCAATTCCTGGCAACCACACGGTGGCTCACAACCATCTATAACATGAACTGATTTCCTCCTCTGGCAGATGTAAATGCAGATTAGAACACTCATATGCATGAAATAAATAAATCTTTTTTAAAAATCCAACAGAAGAGTCTCCTGGTAGCCTGGAGTTTACCGAAAGACCCTACAAAAAACAAAACAAGGTTGGCTGGGCATGATACTTCCGGCCTGCAGTCCCGGCACACAGGAGGCAAAAGCAGGTGTATCTGTGTGCTCTGACATCTAGCCTGGTGGACATAGTTGGTTCCAGGCCAGCCACAGCCTTCGGGTGGGGATAGGGGCCGAGGAGATGGCTGAGTGGGGAGAGTGTGCTGGGAGTGCACGCACTCATGACTGGCTATTAACTGGCCTGTGTGCGAACGGTCATGTGTGTCCCTGCACACATTCCCCCATACCCCACATGCGTAGGGAACGCTCTTGGGATGTGTTTAAATGTGTGTGCATGCAGTTGTGGCCCTTGGTAAATAATGTATGGAAGCTTGTTTATGTTTTCGGGGCGGGAGAGATGGCACAGTGGTTAAGGGCACTGGGTGCCTTTGCAGAGAGGACCTGGGTTCAGTTCCCCGCATCAACAGGCAGCCCACACTGTCTTTAACTCCAGTCCTGAGAGGTCTGATACCCTTTCCTACCCTCCTCTGGCACCAGACACGTAGCTGGTGCACACACACATTCATAAACACTCATACACACAAAAACAAACATATCATTAAAAATTGTTAGCCGGGCAGTGGCGGCACAGTCCTGTAATCCCAGCCCTCAGGAGGCAGAGGCGGGGGGATCTCAGAGTTCAAGGCCAGCCTGGTCTATAGAGCAAGTTGCAGGACGGCCAGGGCTACACAGGAAAATCCTGTCTCGAAAACCAATGAATAAACAAATAAATATTGTTTAAGATTAAATACAGAAATGAAAGAAGCTTAGATTCTCAAGCCCAAGACTCCCAAGTCCAAATTCTTAACCTGCCGTTTCTTCCTCAAAGGACTGCTTCTGCTATCCAAGTCCCAACTAGCCGCAAGCCTGATCAGCTTCCACAATCAGATATTCTGATCAGGTGAATTCTGGGTGGTCTGGCCAGAGACGAGCCCACATCTCTCTGAGCCTGTGTCCTTTCCTGTTACACTGTCCCTGTCTAAAAAGGTTCTGTGAAGTTGTGCCCACTCATCTAGGTGAAGTCCTAGCTGTGGCAGCTGGTACTATCTGTTGCCATGTACGAAAACTCCACCGTGGCTGTCCCCAACGCGCTCTCAGAAACCCCCTCTTCACCCCAGACCTCCTCCAGGCTGACCCCAAAAGGATACATCCATCACAGCCACCATGCTTCGACAAGTGTCAAGGCCAAAACCATCAGTTTTCAGATCCGGGTCTAAGGGCGGAACAGGTTGGAGTTCAGAGGTCAGAGACCACGGTTGCCCCGGCCCACACGGCCTGTAAACCCTCCCTAGGCCCTGGCCCTGGCCACTCACGTCGAGTCACGACCTTGTTGAGGATATTCATGAGTTCTGTGGCACTGACCTCCATGTCCTGGGGGCGGAAGTTAAGGGAGGGAGATGGAGTCGGTCCCGATACTCATAGAAGAGGATGAGGAGTGCCGGGGGGTCATAGCGAGGCAGGGCCAGTGGCCCCGAGATACTTACGTCGCCGGCCAGCTGGACAAAAAGTCTCCTGAACTGCTTTACCTCCTCGCTCTCATTGGCCTCAACGTTGGCGTAGTGGCCTCGCGGCGGCTGCAGAGAGAGGAGATCTCAGAACAGAACCACTTCCCTCTCCTCCCATCCATGAGTCCCAGGGAAAGGAGGGGGCGGGCTGGGCAGTGAGGGCCAGGGAGCCTGAAGTGAGTGCAGCTAAGCCTTGGGGCCTTCAGAAAGGACACTGTCAATGGCAGGGGACATCCCGATAGGGATGGGGAAGGTGACCCGGCCTCGGGTGGGAGGGTCTCTCCTGCCCAGGGCGGCTTACCGGGGGCTCCGGGTTGTACTGAGCAGCGGCCTCGCTGGGGGGAGATGATGGGGGGGCGGGGTTAGAGCCTCCAACGGGTAGCAGAACGGTCATGGCAACCCCTCAAGCTCCAGCCTCCCTTCCTTAGGTGGTCCCTCCTCCTCCCGTCTACCCAGGTCCTGACGGGTCCCAACTTTCAACAGCATGGACCTACCGCTTCTCCTTCGCCATCAGGCCAACCCCTCCCACGAGCCCACCGTCAGGCAGGAGTCGCGGAGGAGCATCCACCAATCACGGACGTCAGAACCACCCCGGGGTACCAATCGGTACCCCGAAATCCCACCCCGACTCCAGCGGGGCCCGCCCCTCCAAGGGGGTCCGCGCCAGCCTCCCTGCGCCCCATCCTCCTCCCTCACGCCTCCCCCCAGCCCCACCAGCCGACACTCCTCCGAGCCGCCAGGCCCCGCCTCACCTGATGGCGCTGATGACCCCGCCCAGGATGCGCATGGCGGTCCCTCCTCCGCCGCCGCCTCCTCCCAGCCCCATGCCGCCCATGCCGCCGCCGCCGCCGCCCCCGCCGGCCGCTCCGCTTATCAGGCCTCCCAGCACGTTCCCCAGGCCCCCGCCTGCTCCTCCGCCGCCGCCGCCGCCCTTCAGGAACGAGTTCACCAGGAACATGACTGCGACTGGGTCCTGCGGAGAGAGGGCGGGGCGGGGGCGGGGCGAGGGGCGGGGTCAGGCGGTCGCCACGCCCAGAGCCCAGCCCTTCCCGGCCGGGGGAGATGCACTTCCCCGCGGCTCCGGCAGGGGGCGCGGCCTCGGGCTGGGGGTCCCGACAGGCGCCCGCGGCCCGCTAGCCCGGGCGGGAGAGCCACCTCCGAGGGTCTGGAGGGGACCCTGGCCCAGGCTGGGGTGCACGCGTGGGCGCCGCGGGGAGCGGGGGCACAGCCTGCTGCGACCCCAGGAGCGGAGAGGCTGGGGCTGGAGACGCAGGGCAGGGCCAGCCTGGGCTGCCGCGGGGGTCGCCCAGCCTGGGCGCGGCGGGGGGGACCCCAACTTGTGAGTCCGGGGCGGAGGCCTCTCCCGGCGGGGGGGGGGCGGAGGGGGTAGCGCCCCAGGGCCGAGCTCGGGCAGCCCCTTCCGGGTGGACGAGCACAGGGCTACGGTGTCACCACCGGATCCGCGGACTCCCGGCCCCAGGTGGCGGCTGTGCGCCCCGGGGGGCCCGGATAACGGGGCTCCTCCCGCCGCGGACGGGAGCCGGGGCCTCGGGTCGTGGCTCCTTTGGGGCGCCCCTCGGAGCTCTGGGCTGATGTCGCGGTGCTCGGGAGGGGGTGACAGGCCCGATCCGAGAACGCAGGTTCGAGGACCCCCGAGGCCGCGAGTTCAAGGCCCCCCCCCTCCCGATCTGAGGACCGCCGATCCCGGCTCCGCGGGGTGCGGGGGTGCTGGCCCGGCTCACCTGGGGATCCGGCGGTCCGCGGCTGCGCTCGCCCGCTCTCCGGCCTCCGGCTGTGTCCGGTTCAGGAGGGCGGGCCCACTGACTAAGGGTTGGGACTCCTGCGCGGTCCTAGACCCGCCCTTGCCGACTGCGCCTGCGCGGGAGCTCCTCCCCGCCCCCAGCCTAGCGGGCTGCGGGCGTGTGCGTCTCTCCCTACCTAACCTCTCCGCTGCACGCGCCGCCACAAGTTCAAAGCTGTCCAGACTGACAGGGCAGCCTAACGCCCAGGTCCTGGAGCGTCCTGGGAACCAGACCCAGGTCACCCTTGGCTGTAGTGGGTTTACTGAACATCCCAAGCTAACGCTGCACTCCTCCTAAGGCCCCGGCTAACCTCGAACTCGAAGCAATCCTCCCGCCTCTGCTTTCAGAGTGCTAGGATTACAGGTGTGATCCGTTTACTGTCAGTTCCTGCCTCCCACCTAGCTCCCTCCCTTTTTGGCTCCTAGGCAGTCTGGCCGCTCCCTGGGGACTTATGTAAAGCTCAACTTGAGTCTTCATTGCTCATCCCTAATACGGCGGCCTGATGATGTCCGTGAGCAATGATTCCCTCATCTGCAAAATGGGAGCATGGCCGGGCGTGAGGACACACACCTGGAACGCCAGCCCTTGGTCGGTGGGGGCAGGAGGCCATTCTCGGCACCTCTCAAGTTTGTGGCCAGCCTGGGCTACACGAGACCCTGTCTCAAAGGGGAGCAGGTTAGACACAGGTTCCCCGGAATTAAGAGAGAACTACACAGTAAATGCCAGCGCGCTGTTCCCTGAGCTCATCCGGGTCCCCAAGCTCATTGACTCTCGCTCACCCTTAACCAGTGTGATAACTGCCAGTTCCTCAGTAGTCTGCGCCCGCCAGCTCGCATGTCCTCACCGCAGCCCGTGTGTGTGTGTGTGGGGGCTGTGGCCTCTGCCTCACCTGCTCCCTTCACTGCCGTCCTTACCCAAAGACTCCCCAATAGCTTAATATGATAATCACTCAAATGATAGTCACTCAAATGACAGGATCGTAGTCGCTCCTAACAGCACCTAAGGGCTTGCTGGGACCAGGCCAGGTAATTGCTAGCCAAGCCTGTGTGTGGGAGGCAAGGTGTAACAGGAGCGAAACTGCAGGCTCTGAACCGCAGGCAGGATCACCGGGGTGCGCCTGTAAGTCATCTGAATGGATTCCCTTCCTGCCACACCCCTCCCGGCCACACTGGGCGGCCTGCTGACCTCAGGCTCAACTCACTGGCCGTCCCTTGCACTAGCCGGGGTCCTCTGCCTACAAACACTTCTGTGTTTGCTTTTCTTGTTTGTCTCCGTCGCTGGAAGGAGCTCAGCTGTCTCTCCCTTATGAAGTCCTCTTTGTCCTCCCGCCCGCCCAGGGCCTGGTGAGGCTGTCAGAGCCACCCTGTAGTAAACACAATGACACATGTCTAGAATCCAAAGGCTCAGAAGGCTGGGGCAAGTGAGCGACACCATAGGACACCCTATCTCAAAAACAACTTAAAAAGCGCTTCAGGAAGAGGCAGGCGGATCTCTGGGAGTTTGAGGCCAGCCTGGTCTACAAAACAAGTCCAGGGCAGCCAGGGCTATCAGTGAAGCCATGTCTTGAAAAAGAAGAACAAAAACCAAACAGTGATTATCACTTTTTAAGCACTGTTGAGGCTGTAACACAGCTTTAATCCCAGCGCTCCAGGAAGTAGAGGCAGGCAGACCTCTGAGCCTACATACCCAGTTCCAGAGCACAGCCAAGGGCCATATAGTGAGACCCTGTCTGAAACAAAAGACAACAAACAAAAAAGGTTGGAAAGAATCAGACTAACTTTGTAACCTATGTTTCTTTAATTGCCTTATAACTTATATTTTCAAGTTTTAGGCCCATGTTAATTAAAACCTCTTAGTGCTTCTCCAGAGAACCGAGGAATGTAAAAGTTCCTGACATTAGCCATCTGCGAGGGCAGAGATAAGGAAGAGAACAAGCAGAGATCTCTACTAGGTGGAGAAAATCACCAGCCAGCACCTGTGAGATAAACTTTGTTTGGAAACTGGGCCAAATGGCCCCCTAGTCCTTCTCCTGAATAGCTCTTGACCTTTGACCCAAAGCCTGTAACCCCCACTCCTCAGAACAGACACAGGATGAGTTAATCACTCTCCCACCTTTAACTGTGGCTATATCTCATATGGCAGGAAATTCCAAACTAACTTGAAGATCAGGTATTTAGACAGGGCTGACTGGACCTAAGGGTGCCCAGAACCAACCAATTATTTTAAAAGTTAAATACCTCATCCAATCCTAAATCACCAAGACTGCAACCCCTGAAAATTACCCTCGCCTTGTCCTTTAAAAGCCCAAGGCCTTGGTCTCCCAGTGCCACTCTTTGCTGACCAGCAGGGGTGACCCCATCATACAATGGTCAAAATAAACCTCTTGCATTTGCATCCATAGATGGTGGTCTCTGGAGGGCTTTTTTCACTCACCTCCCAGGTAGCTAGGCACCTGCTGGGCCTGACAGGCTCAGGCCAGGCCTAACAGGTTTCAGGGGTGCTGTGCTGGGGAGATGGCTCCAGGGGTTAAGAGCACTGGCTGCTCTTCCAGAGGAGCCAGGTTCAAGTCTCAGCCCCCACAGCAGGGGCTCACAACTGCCTGTAAGTCCTGTTCTAGGAGGTCTAATGGTCTCTTCTGGCTCTGAAGACACTGGCAGGAATGCGGTACCAAGACATTCACTCAAGGAAACCACACGCAAAAAAGAAAACCGATGCCTGTCGTTTTCATAGCGCCCCCTCCCAGGGTGATCCTGTCGTCCTCTAATTCTGTCTCCCCAACTCTCAACTCCCGGCACCTGTGAGCTTTAGGTCTTGTTGCCCCTGTCTGTGCGCTGTGCCATTGGGCACTTCCCTGAGGTGCTTTTTGATGAGTTTTCCCCTGTGTGTGTATTTTGTGGGGTGGAATCTCATAGCCCAGGCTGGCCTTAATCTCACTGACAGACGGAGAATGGCCTTGAAGCGATCTTCCTGTCTCCACCCCGAAAGCCCTGGGTTTACAGGAGTGTGCCCGGGTCCTGCATGTCCTGTTTCATCTCTAGGTCACCAGCCCCCAATTCCCTCTCTTCAACCTGGGCAAGGCGGGGTCCCAGGGCCTGGACTCAAGGCTTCTTTCTGTTTATCGTCTCCCTGGGGGATGGGAGTAAGGGGCTCCTCAGCCACGAACGAGGTCCATCCCCGAGCTGTCCACACCCGATCCTTCTCCTTTCTTTTTTGCTTTTTGTTTAGTTGTTTTTTTAATTCTATTTCATGTTTATGCATCTCTGTGTCTGCCTTGCAGAAGCAGCAAGCTTGTAACCACTGAGCCATCTCTCTAACAGCTTGGGGCTCTCCTGGACCAAGGGCTGTCACTGAACTTCTGGCAATCCTTCCTAGCCTCCCTAGTGTTCCCATTACAACACACTTCCCTCCCGGCTGATCGTCTGTGAGGACCCCACCGGTCCATGCCTGAGCAAAGCTAACTGGCCTCTGTCTGTACCCTCAGTGCCGCCCCTCCCCCAACCACTATCGCTGCCAACCTTCCCCCCCAATTTTTTTTTTTTTTTTTTTGGAGTAGGGTTATTGGAGACAGGGTTTCTCTGTGTGTCCCTGGCTGTCCTGGACTGGCTTTGTAAACCAGGCTGGCCTTGAACTCACACCTGACTGCTGACTGCCTCTGCCTCCCTGAGTGCTGAGGTTAAAGGCTTGTGCTGCCCCTGCCAACCTTGATCTCCTTCTCTGTCCCTACCACCTGCAAAGCAAGCAAGTGCAGGTGTCCTCCCCCCCCCCTCTCCCTCCTCCTCCCTCCCTCCCCCTGCTCCTGCCCACACACTCAGAGCTCTGTACCTGCTACACTTCATTCCATTGGAGTCAAATTTCCCTCCCTAGGAAAAGCAGCTCAGAGAGTGCATGCCCGGCCTGCATGACGCCCCAGCACTGAAAAGAAAAAGAAAAAAATGGTTCTTTTCACTCTAGACACAAAGTCCTCACTGATCTGTCCTGTCACCTCCCTGTCCCTCTAAGCCAGTCCAGGGAGGACAGGCATGGTGGCACCCGCCTTTGATCCCAGCACTCGGGAGGCAGAGGCGGACAAATCTACGGGAGTTTGAGACCAGTCGGGTCTACACAGCAAGTTCCAGGACCTGGATAGTCCCATCTGAGGCTTAACGGACAAAAAATGGGTAGGAGGCGCTGCCCGTGTGCCGTGTCCAACCAGCGCCTTTCCTGCGCTTGGGATGGGCCAACTCCATGCCAAGGCGTCTCTGGGTGGTGGGAGAGAGGACAGTCTTCCCAGACCTCTCATTAACCTTCTTCACTTTTTTTTTTTCCTTTAATGAAACAAAGTGTCATTATGTAGCCCTGATCTACCTCTTGAGTTCCAGGTCAGCCAGCGCTACTTAATGAAACTTTGTCTCAAAAGCCACACGGAGGGATGGGAGTGCTGGAGAGATGGCTCAGCAGTGAGGGCAGCTGGGAAAGGTTAAGGCCAGGGTACCAAAGGGGCTCCCAGCTCCGACCTCTACTTTTCGTTTTGTTTCACCTGTGAATTTTTCCCGGCAATATTTGTATACGTTTCTGGTCATGTTGGATGTGCAAATTGAAACATTATTTACCACGAGTGTAGACGCGTGCATGTGACCCGGTCAACTCGTGGAGATGAGAGGACAGCTCAGGAGTCAGCTCTCTCCCAGGCCCCTGAGGTGTGGGCAGTGAGCTCGCTCTGCCAGCCTGGCACCGCTCTTGCTGGTCTCTCTGATATGGAAATTTTTATTCCGCCCATTTTTTTTTTTTTTTTTGCATGTCATATCAACCTGGAAAGGGCAGGTGTCTTCCCCGCCCAGCCGTGGCCCGGCCTTGATGTTCCTCACCCCAGGAGCCCGATGACTCCCTCGGCCCTTCCCACCCAGGTAATAAACTAGCCTCCAGGCTCTGGAAGCTGCTGCCTAAGGAGCAGCAGGGCGGCAGGTAGGAGCTGAGTGTTTGCTGCCTTGGCATCAGCCCCAGAGTGCTTGAGCGTTAGTCCCCGAGGAAGAACGAGGTCTATTCTCCTTGGCCATGCTCAGCTCTGTTTCAGGGCTCGTTTTAATCTTTTCTACCCTACAGCGCGCATTTTATGCACCCAAACAATTCCTCACAGTCCTAAAAATACCAGTTCCCCGCTGTGCTTAAGACTCCATCGTCTAAGAGCTAGCAGGAGCTTTTCTCCATCCCTTGATCCCCGACTAAACCCAGGGATAGGCTGTGGAGGTTCAGTGAGGAGCTAACCCCATTGTTCTAGTTTGCTCTCTGTTGCTGTGGCCTCGACAGAAGGCAATGCGGGAAGGAGAGGGTTTATTTGGCCTACAGGTTAGAGGTCATCTGGGAATACCAAGACAGGAGCCTGGAGGCAGGATGGGAAGCAGAGCCCTGGAGGAACGCTACTCACAACCTGCCTTTTTATACAACTCACCTGCCTCCGGGCGTCAGGACCCACAGTGCACTGTGCCTTCCACATCAATCATTCATTAAGAAAATGCACCCCAAGCCGGGAGGTGGGGGCGCACGCCTTTAATCCCAGCACTCGGGAGGCAGAGGCAGGTGGATCGCTGTGTGTCTGAGGCCAGCCTGGTCTACAGAGTCCAGGACAGCCAGGGC